AAAAGTCCTGAACGTGGATAAAGGATAGACAGTATTATCATATTTTCTTATTAAAAATCTCTGGAGAGGTGCTTCTGCCTTCTCAAACCAGACATTTCCATATAAGTGATTAATATCTGAATTAATATAAATATGTATACGCAAATGCCTTCTTACCTACTTATTGTATTAAATGAGCTAGAAATGTCTTGGCATTCTCATAACAAGAGCCCTGAGTATCTCTGTGAAGGCTTGTCTTCAGCTAAAACATAGTGAATATACAGTTTTGAAGGAAACGATACCATGCAACTTTAGGCAACAGATTTTCACTCCTAAATATCCTCTATGAAATGCTTCCCAGTAATAAAAGTTATTCTCTGCAAAGCCACTGGGGAGAGTTCAAAGTGTTTATGAATCACGCTGAATAAAGGTACTCTGTGAACCTGAGTGATGCAGTTGTACAATGGAGTTCTCTGCTTGCAAACAGGATGAAGAAGGAGGGCCCACTTTCATCTCAGCTTCCACCTCTTGAGCCTTAAGCATGCTTATCTTCTTTGAACGTCATCACCCACTATCATCATATTTTAAAAGCCATTTTTTTTTCCCCTTTAATGGCAAGTATCTTGCCAACTTTGTTCTCCTTGGATCAAAATGTGCAACAGAAAGATGGTGGGAAAGGCTCTTCAGCATCTCTCTGCTGTGGCCTAGTCCTTCCCAGTTCAAAAGGCTAAAATCACCCCGCTACACCTATTTAAATGCAGCATAGAGTGTCAAGGCAAAATATATGTTACAGAGGTGAATGTTACAGACAGAAAAACACTCAGAAGTAATGCAGGTTGGTTTGGATTTTGTGTTTGTTTTTTTTTTTTTGGGGTTTTTTTTTTTTTTAAGGAAAATAAGGTGTCGCCATTCCCTGCCTTGAGGATGCCTTAATTGCCCGCAGTGTTTCCTCTCTAGTGACTCTATGCCCCGCTCGCTGCTGCAAGCTACTGCTCAGGCCGTGCCCGGGGGGAGGGCCCCGCTTGTTGCGTGAAAAGCACGCCCTGGCGCGGGGACCCTTCCGCGGGGGGGCGCGGAGAGCCGCACACCGCCCGGCACCTCCCCTTCTCTCCCTACCCCGCGGCGGGCGGTGCGCGGCCGGGGAGCACCCTCCCCCGCGGGAGGCAGGCTCCTCTTCCCCACTCCCTCGTCCGCGCATCCCCTGCAACGCGGGTGGGTCATTGCGCGGGAGAAGGGTCGTGCCCGGGTGAAGGGTGGCGCTGGAGGTCGGGGTTGCGCTGGGCAAGGAGAGGCTGCTTAGGTAGCCTCTTTGTGCACACTTTGTGCGCAGCGCGCAGTTACTGTGAGCGTTAATTAACCCGCCCAGTCCGGCGGAGGGGCGGGCTCGCTGCTTCCCGGGGGCAAAAGGTGGCCGGTGAAGCTGCAGGGACTCCTCGGCCCAGTGGGGCGGCCGCCCGGGCAACTCTCCCTCCCGGGAAATGAGCCGGCGAGGGCACGCAGGAACACGTTTCGCGGGAGGGAGGGTTTGCCTTCCGAAAGCTCAGCCAGAGTCGACACCAGAGCGTTTCTCACAGCCTGCGGAGCTGGGGGTGTGGAAAAGATCAACGGCAAGGGCTGCAGTTAAATATGCCTGAGAGCCAGTAATCCTCTGCTTAAGAGGGAGAGGGGAGAAAATACGTGCCTCGTTGCTAAATCTGCGTATTCTTAAGGCATTTTAAACGGTGGGGACTGTGGTGCGATCTGCACAGGAAGCCCGTGGTCGGTGCCCGGAGCGCCCGGTGCTGCTGCTGCTTGCTGCAGATGTGCCCGGGCGCTTTCCCCCGCATCAAGTTACCCTGCTCCGTGAGCCGGGCGAGCCGCCGGTGTCGGGCCGCAGTCCCACGCATAGGAGAGCGGTCAGGGTGACTGTGCCCTTACCTCCCCCCCCTCCACGAGATTTATCGTCGATCGCCAAGTGGGTGTGAATGTGTGGGTACAGCCGCTCTGTCATGCAAACCTGCTGAATTCCAGTTAGAAACTTGTGGTGCTGTGCCGCTCGGTACAACCATGGGGGGAAATAATGATAATGATAATAATAATAATAATAAATAATAATAATAATAAATAACAATAATATAAAATAAAGGTCCCGAGTTGGGTATCGCGTTTTCCCATGTCTGGCAAAGAGGCTCAGCGCTGCCACCTCGCGTCCCCCGGCCCTACGAAGCCTGCAGGAAAAGGAATGAAGTTTCGAGGGTTTTTTTCACTTGCAAAACGTGGAGAAATCTGGCCAGTGCTCTTCAAACCGCCTTTTAGGTGGAAGCCGAGTGCTCACACTTTACACCTAGGCTTAAAAATGTGGGGAGCTGGAAGGTGCTTCCAGTCCTGCACTGGAGGATTAGGGGTGGAAGTAATTAACTTTAAGGAAACAGCCAAGAAATTGTAGTAAAATGGTTTTATAGAGTTTCACATCATGTTCTTGCGCTTGCTTTATTAAGCAATTCTAAATTGCCCTTTTGTAAAGTGTTCTTTCCTTCCGGAAATAATACTCTTCTGGCCATCCCATGTTCATGCTTTTTGAAGCAAGATTAAATTGAGGTGACTGCTTTCATCAAGATAACACTTAACTCACCTGAAGATAATTTTTAGCCATGGTACACTGTGACACAACTGGGTGAAGAGCTTTTCTAAAGCTTTTTTCTTTTCATGTCTCTGAGTTTAGTTTGTATTTTTCCTGCTTTAACCTGTACCTAGAAACATGAGAATATTTTACTTGCTTTGTAGTTTAAACAAATTGAGATTCATATGTAAAACATAATAGCTGGGATTGAAATCCTTTTGGATAGCATGCTTACAGGTGGAGCAGCCAGGAGCCGCTGGCTGCTCCCAGACCCAGTTTTTCCCACTGCTGCACATGGGTACCAGGGGTGTAGATAAAGCCAGTACTTACTCCTTGACACCCAAACCACCGTGAGTCCCCTTTTCCACAGATGTTGATGGTGTATGGTAGAACAGATTTGATGTGAGCTTTGGGGTAGTGGGGGAAAAAAACATGGCATGATTTACTACACACCAAGTGTAAAAGTGAGAAACACCACTGATGTCACTGAGTCTCCTCAACTTAGTACAAAGTGGTGTTTTATCCAGTGCTTACCAGAGGCTGAGGAAACAATGTATTATTTTTGCAAGGAAAGCAATAATTTAGATTGTATCTTTGCAAATGTTCTTGGTCATGTAGGTGACCTACCCAAGGAGGTACCTGGAATTTAGGATTTTTCTCAGCACTTCCTGACAGTGTAATAGTCTGTGTCCCATGTGGGATCTTAATATTCAAAGCTTGTTCTCAAACCAGTTAGAAACCATGCTAAAGGATCCCACTGTAAATTTTATTGCAAAAATATCTAATTTTAGACCTCTTTTTCAGACATTTCAGCTGTTTTCAACTATTGTTTTTTGTTTCTGATTTAAAAAGTGTTTTTAACTGGTGGTGTGTGGAACAGAAATTTTCACAGCTGTTTTGTCTAACAGCCTTTTCGGTCTCTGGCCTGACGGATAGTGTGAGGAATCTCTGGGGCAGTAACATTGCCAGTGTTTTTAAGGCCTCACCAAGCCTTTACCTGAGTACTGGGTTATTTGACACCGCGAGGCCTGAAGCGGTGCCTCACAGCGCCTCTCACCGCCGCCCTGTTGTTACCACTGACCACGGCAGGGCGCAGGGGCCGGAAAATGGGATGAAAACGCACCTCGAAACGCACCTTGCGCCCTCCGAAGGGCCCCAGAGGAGGCGGGGGACGGGGGGACGGGGTTAGGCGCGGCTGCACCTCCGCGCCCGGGAGGCTGGTCCCTGCCCACCGGCCGGGTACCGCTTTCCCCGCCCCTCGCGGCCTCTTCTGCTCCCAGGGGAGCCGGCGGGGCCGGCCAGGACCTCTCAGCCAGGGGTCATGGGGCTGCGGCGTGGGGGAGCGGCCGCTTGCGGAACGCAGGGTAAGCAGGCAGTGAGGGCAACACGTCTGCCCTCCCTCTTACTCCAGGGCTAAGCGATGGAATGGGTGGCGGCGATCAGCGAGCGCTGCCGCCGGTGCGGATCTCCCCTCTCCGCAGAAGATGCCGGCCGCGCCTTCCGTCCCACCCGCGGCGCCGCTCTCCATGTCGAAGGGGGCGTGACGGTAGCGCTTTGCGGCCACTTCGTGCGGGGTGACGACCCCGCCGCAGCAACACCCGCGTGTGGCCGGGGGGCGGACACACACACACACACACACACACACACACACACACGCACTCCGGCATCCTCCTCCCGGAACCCCCGGCAGCGGGGTCACCGGGGCGGTGTGTTGCTTTGTGCGGGCAGGTGTCCCCTCCGCCCCCCCGCGCCCCCCTTTAATGATTTGCATTATGATGATTTTTGCTGATTTCCTAATTTTTACCCTGCAGGGAGGGAGGAAGGGGGAGGGGGTAACGGGGGGGGGTTGCGGGCACGTGCTCTGCGGGGCGGCGCGCGGGGCTTGCCCTCCTTTGCCCCCTTTCAAAAAGTCCTCCCCGCCGCCGCCGCCGGGAATGAGGTCAGCGCGGGCGCTTCCCATTGCACGCGGGGCGCGATTACCGCGCCGCCGCGCCCGCCAATCGCCGCGCGGCGGGCGGGGCTTGGCACGCGGAGGCGTTGGATACAGCGCCCGATTGGCCGCGGGGCGGGCCGCGAAAGGATAAAGCGGGCGCGGGGCGGGCGCGGGGGTCCGCTCTCAGGCTGCAGCCGGCCGAGCGCGGCTGTGCGCGGGGCAGCGCCCGGCGGGCGGGGGGCGGCGGCGGCGGTGGCGGCAGCTCCTCCGCAGGGCTCCGCGAGCGCGGAGCAGCAGCAGTGCCGGCAGCAGAACCAGAACAACCACCACCGGCTGCGTCGGCGGAGGAGGACGGGGCTGTGAGCCCGGCTTGCCGCTCTTCCTGCCGGGGACGTACACACTCGTTCATGCACGGGCGCTTTTCTTTTGCTAATTCCTCGTGATTTTTTTTCCCGTAATTATTATTTTTTCCTTTTTCTATTTTTTTTTTTTTTTTGCCTGAGGGGTTTTGCTCAGCGCCTCGTAACCGCCAAATCCTACCTGCACTAACTCCTGACCGCCGAACCCGCCGCCACCACCACACGAGTCCTGGAGCCGGGGTTTTCGGGGCTTTGGAGACGCGCCGCAGCCGCCTCCCCCCTGCCACCACTCCCCCTCTCCCGCCGCCGGTGCACGCTGGCCGTGCCCAGCGCTGAGAGACTTTGTGCGCCGGGCGCGCTCCTCTGCTGAAACGCCGCGAGCAGGCGGAAAGCACTTGTGAACTGCGGGACCACAGCTGCTTCAGGGAGGGGGCAGATCCGAGGTGGTGAGGAAAAAAAGCAGAGGGACATTCTCCCCTCCAAAAAATCCCAAACCCGTAACACACCAAGGAAAAAGCCAACTTGGACCGACGGCTCGCGGTGCGGCTTTTGCAGAAACTCTGTGTCTGACCGCGGGCGGCCCCGCCGCTGCCGTCGCCGCCGCCTCGAGGGGGAGAGGACCGCGCCGCCGGGGACGAGGCGCCGGTGTGGAAGTACAAGTGGTGCGCGGAGCAGGACCGCGGCCGCGGGGGGCTGCGCGGCCGGCTGCGCCGCCCCAGTACCGCTGTGAGAAGTTGCGCGCCCTGCCCCGCGCCGGAGCGGCGCTGAGCTCCGGCGAGCCCCGCGCTGCCGCCGCCGCGATGGTGCAGCAGACCAATACGGCGGAGAACACGGAGGCGCTGCTGGCCGCCGAGACCTCCGACTCCGGGGCCGGCATCGAGCTGGGCATCGCCTCCTCCCCCACGCCGGGCTCCACTGCTTCCACGGGGGGGAAGGCGGACGACCCGAGCTGGTGCAAGACGCCCAGCGGACACATCAAGAGGCCCATGAATGCCTTCATGGTGTGGTCGCAGATCGAGCGGCGGAAGATCATGGAGCAGTCCCCCGACATGCACAATGCCGAGATCTCCAAGCGCCTGGGCAAGCGCTGGAAGCTGCTCAAGGACAGCGACAAGATCCCCTTCATCCGGGAGGCGGAGCGGCTGCGCCTCAAGCACATGGCGGACTATCCCGACTACAAGTACCGGCCCAGGAAGAAGGTGAAGTCGGGCAACAGCTCCGCCAAGCCCGGCGACAAGGCGGACAAGGGCGGCGGGGGCGGCGCCGGCGGGGGCAGCGCGGGCGGCGGCAACGGCGGCTCCGCGGCCTCCGCCAAGCCCGCCCCGAAGAAGGGCGGCGGCGGCGGCTCCAAGCCCTCCCCCGCGGGCGGCGGCGCGGGCGGCAAGCCCCACGGCAAGGTAGCGGCGGGGGGCAAAGCTGCCCCCTTCCCTGGGGAGCCCCCGGCCGCGCTGCTGCCGCCCGAGCACCAGGCGCTCTACAAGCCCCGGGGGGCGGCGGGCTCGCCCTCGGGCCCCGGCAAGCCGCTGGCCGAGAAGAAGCTGAAGAGGGTCTACATCTTCGGGAGTGGGCAGGCGGCGGCCGCCTCCGCCTCTCCCGGCGGCGCCGTGCCCGGCAGCCCCACGCTGAGTACCTCGGCAGAGGCCGGAGACCCCTTGAGCCTCTACGAGGAGGGGGGAGGTGGGGCGGGTCGGCCCGACGGGGACTGCGGCGGCGCTGCCTGCCCCTCGCCCTCCGGCTCGGGCTCTCCCTCGGATCACCGCAGCTATACCAGCCTGCGCGCCTCCTCCCCAGCCCCCTCCACGGCGCATTCCTCCTCCGCGTCCTGCCACTCCTCCTCCTCTTCCTCCTCCGGCTCCTCTTCGTCGGACGACGAGTTTGAGGACGACCTCTTGGACCTGAACCCCAGCCCCGGCTTTGAAAGCATGTCCCTGGGCAGCTTCAGCTCCTCGGTGCTCGACCGGGACCTGGATTTTAACTTCGAGCCCGGCTCGGGCTCTCACTTTGAGTTCCCGGACTACTGCACGCCGGAGGTAAGTGAGATGATCTCGGGGGACTGGCTGGAGTCCAGCATTTCTAACCTGGTCTTCACGTACTGAGGCAGGAGCCGGGCGCTGCAGGAGGAGGCACCGCCGGGCGCGTTTCTCGAGTTTGTTTTCCTTTTTCGTTTTTCTTTGTTTTCTTTTTTTTTCCCTTTCTCCCCTGCCTTCCCCGGGAAGGGACTGTTGAGGTTGCTGCTGGTGCTCGGGGAGCTGGGCGGCGAGAGCAGGGTCGCCCTCTGCTTGCGGAAAGGCCAGCAGTCCCCTTCCCCCAGCCGGAGACGGACCAGCACAAACACACCCCCCTCCTCCGACGTTGCCTTTTCAGAGACTGGCGAGAGCGAAATGCTGCCTTTTCCCTTTTTTATTTACTGAAAAGAGAGACGGAGAAGGGGGGGGGGAGAACCGCACACACCTCTGGGTTCTTTGTTATTGCCCACTTTATATGAATAAAGAGGAGGGGGGAGCCATGCATTGTGCTAAGCGCACGCTGGAGGTCTTGAGCATTCGCCCTTTGGCGTGAAAGAGCGAGCTGAACTGCTTGGAAAAACGGAGAGAAAGAAAAGAACACAAAAAAAAAAAACAAAACAACAAACCAACCACCCAAGCCTTTGCAAGGTTCGTGTCTGGGGGGAGAAATCCTGTCCCGGTTTCCTAAGCGGTGAGAGGCGACGATGATAGGAGGAGGAGACGGATGGAGCTAGGAGCTGGACTGAGATCCCGGTTAAGTGGAGAAGAGCCAGACTCACACTTGAGAGCTGTCTTGGAAATACGGTGGGGGGAAGATAATAATAAACTGAAACGGATTTGCACGTACGGTTGAGGTGGCGGCAGCGCTTTTCTCGGTCACCTTATGTCATATGTAGAAAGGAAAAATAAGGCCGAAACTTCAAGAACACTGAAAACTTTCTTTGGAAACAGAGACCGAATGGGAACAGTTTCTGTCGTGATGTGGTACAGGGGAAACTGAGGGCGACGGCTTTTGCAAAAAAAAAAAAAAAAAAAATCCCAAACACGAAAATACTGAAAAAAAAAAGTAGTTTTTTTTCTTCTTACTCAGAATCGTGATGGTGTTGGATTATTTCACTGGTGGGGTTTAATATAGCATGTTATCCTGTCTATCTTTTTAAGATTTCTGTAAGACTGTTGAACAGTTTAAAAAACCCTAGTGTTAGGATAATATAAAAGCAGATAGATGGCGCTATGTTTGATTCCTACAAAAATATCACCAGCTTTTTTTCATTCTTAACTCTTTAAAGGATTCAAACGCAACTCAAATCTGTGCTGGACTTTTTTTAAAAAAAGAAAAGAAAATTCAGGACCAAATTTTTTTCTCAGAGTATGTATGTGTTTGTTCCTTATAGCTGTAAATGAAAAGACTGGTTTCTCTCACCGATTCTCCATCCTCGTGTTGTTTTTCGGTTTTGTTTTTATTTTTCCTTGTAAATGTAATCGGATGCCATTTTATAAGTGGACGTATTTATACTGGCCAAACATTTTTGACTTGTATTTCTTTGTCCTTTTTTGGTAGTTCTCGTTGTTACCCACACCATTTTTATGTCTCCTTCACTGAAGGGCTAGAGTTTTAACTTTTAATTTTTTATATTTAAATGTAGACTTTTGACACTTTTAAGAAAAAAGAAAAAAGAAAAAAAAACAAACAAAAAGAGAAGAGAGATGAAAACGTTTGATTATTTTCTCAGTGTATTTTTGTAAAAAATATATAAAGGGGGTGTAAATCGGTGTAAATCGCTGTTTGGATTTCCTGATTTTAACAACAGGGCCGCTGGTTAGTATCTCACCCGCGTGTGCGCGCTCACGCTCACTCACACTCTCACGCACCCACGAGTCAGCCCCTCTTTTGTCCATGTTTACACTCCAATCTGCAGGCATCTTAAAGTGACAGCATCCCTCGCCGCCCGTGCCCGCTCCGCAGCCCCCCCGCCTTTATTGAGGGGGTCCGGAGGGGAGCGGGCAGGGGAGGACTGAGGCGGACACACCGTGTGCCACCGTTTTGGGGAGACACGCCTGTCCCGAAATGAAGTACAGCAACTGGTGCATTTACAGAGAAGGGATCCTGTACCTTTAACTTGTAAACCACATCTTTTGCACTTTTTTTAGAAGCAAACCCGTGCCGTTTAAACCACTGGATCTATCGAAATGCCGGTTTGAGTTCGCGACACTATGTACTGCGTTTTTCATTCTTGTATTTGACTATTTAATCCTTTCTACTTGTCGCTAAATATAATTGTTTTAGTCTCTTATGGCATGATGATAGCATATGTATTCAGGTTTATAGCTGTTGTGTTTAAGATGAAGAAAGTGAAAACATCTTTGTACATTTAAGTCTGTATTATAATAAGCAAAAAAGAAGATTGTGTGTTTATGTATGTTAATATAACATGACAGGCACTAGGACGTCTGCCTAATGAGGTGGTTCCGTTAAGGGTTTAACATTTTTTGTTATTTTTTGTTATTTTTTTGGTCATCCATCCTGTGCAATATGCTGTGTAGATTTATTTTTTTTTTCTTTTTTTAATCTTAACGATCACCCTCAACGCAATGTTGGGAAAGAAGAGAGAGAGAAAAGGAGAAAAAAAAAGATCATGCCAGCTAACCATGTCAAGTTCACTGCCTGTCAGATTGTTGATATACCTTCTGTAAATAACCGCTCTTTTGTTTTGGGTTCTTTTTTGTTTTGTTTGTTTTTGTTTTGTTTGGGTTTTATTTTTTTCTTTATTTTGGTTTCTTTTTTTTTTCTTTTTTTTTTTTTTTGTTATTGTTGTTGTTCTTCGGGAAGGAAATAAAATCAGCTGGAACTGAACCCTAACACTGGACTGCTCTTGTCATCATTCATACGCCCCCCGCCCCCTCCGAACAGCGATCTGTCGTCCTCCGGGCAGCGGAGCTTCCTGCTCGCCGGAGCCCCGGCTCCTGCGTCGGCCACTGTCCCAGCGCGGAGCCACCGCCCCGGGGCCGGCCCTGCCGGGAGGAGCCAAGGGAGGGGCAGCCGTGTCGCCGAACCGGCCCCCTTCCAGGGCCGTGGCGGGTGGGTGCCGCGGAGGCCGGGCTCGGCGGCGGTGTGCAGCTGGGCGGACGGCTCCCGATGGAGGGGTCGGGGTAGCTGGGGCAGGGTGGAGTTTGCCTTCCCCGAGCTCCCGGCAGCGCGTTAGCGTTAGGCGGCGGGCCGCTCCTCTCCTTCCGGGGCTGCTGCCCCGGTACTGCAGGTTGAGGTCGTTTTCCCTTATACAATATGTGGGGTTTTTTTTTCTTTTTTTTTCCCCTTTTCTGCGCTGGCTTTCCGGGTGAAAGCCTCCGGAGCCAGCTATCCTCTGGGCACGGGCAGCTGCGGGGCCCCGCCTCCCATCCTCCATCCAAACCAGTTTCTCCGGGGCACCTTTAATGAAGTCTTTCTAACGAGAGCGCTTGCAAACCCCGGGCCATTAACGCTCTTAGCAGGGAGAATACGCAGGTCGGTAGTGTGTGTGGGTCCTTGCCCCCACCTCCCTGCTGCTTCCGAAGTGAGTGCGCCCCGACCTGTGCCAAAACCCGTGACTCCGTTGGGGGGTCCCTGATACGCGTTTGCGTTCCCCTCTTGCCCGCGGGTATGCATCGTATCTTGAACAGTATTTTGTAAACCGATTAAAGCATCCCACTGACATAATGGTTTCACTTAGCTGTTAATTTACAGCTGGCTTTGAGCCATAAACTCTTTTCCAGGAAAAGTAGCAGCAAACGAAAGGAGACGTACTGGCTGTTTTACAAAGCCACCGGCACAGGAGGTTAATGTTTGGCCTTCTTAATCCTCGCGAATTCCTGTGTTATATTTGCCATGCAAAAAAAGCCCCCACCTGCAGACCCGCGCAGTTCATTGCCCGGAGGTTTCCCGGTTAGCCTCTTTGCATGCAGGGCTGCTCCTTCCAGAGGTCACTTGCAAAGCAGACATCCCTGCTGGTGACCCCCGGGACTCCCCATCCCTCGGGACGCAGGAGGGGGCGGAGGGCGAGCAGGCTCACCGCTGGGGGTGTGCGCCCCAACCCCCCTGCTCCTGCATGCAAAGGTTGTAACTCAATAACCTTACTTATAACTAAGGTTATCGGTCAGTTTGTTCTTGGGTCTGACCACAGGCCAAAATCGAGGACGAAAGCGAGCAATGGAATGGGTAACAGCACCGACAGCAAACTGCAGTCACTTGTAGCAGCAGGCCTGGACTGTATGCCCTGCCCTCCCCTCCCCGAGCCAGGCTCGTGTGCCGTTGGCTACAGTTAACTTGAGGGGTTTTATGGTTTCCTGCACACGTTGTTTTTCTTCTCAATTATAATGAAGTCCAGTGTTGCCAAACGGATTGTGTCTCTGGGGACTCTTTGGTGACACAAGTTGTTGCCTCCAGATAGCTAAGTGGAAGTCAGGCTAAAATATATATGTGTGTATGTGCAAATATACACAAATAGGAAATACTCATACATTCCTTGCTGTCTGCAATATGGCTCAAGGCACATCTCTCACCAGAGGAAGCACCTAGAATTAAGCTAAACAAGGATATGTCACCATATGTATGTCTTTTTTCTTGTAGACCATATTTCTAACAGAATTGTTTTGGGAGGGAAAGTAGTAGCCCTTTAGTAAATGTGAAAGCTAGTAAATTTATTGCAAAGCTTTTTTAATGGAGATCTATGTAAAAGAAAACTAGATTTTAGGAATTTCAGCTGGTGCCTGACTGTAGGCTTGCCTCACGCTGTATCCTTTCTTGGACATGGTCCAGTGGGGGCTGCCTACGAAGAGGTGCATTTCCACAACATCATGAAATCTACTATGCGAGATTGCTGTTGCTGTTGTTTCCTCCTGCTACCCTGCTGTTGCTGCTGACGGGGCCTCTGCCCCAGCCAGTGTGAGAGGCCCCAGTCCTGCTCCTGGAAACTGCAACCATGCTTGAACAAACAAGGCAAAGCAAAATTGCTCCTACCCTTCAAGCCTTCACTCTGGGAACCAGCGTTTTAGAGACTTCTACAGCCACACATGGTCATCGTAACCAGTGAATCCTATTCCACTAATTATTAAATCCCCCACAGCATCCCCTTCTTGCCTGTGGCCTCCACAGTATCTTGTGGTAATGCTGAGTGAATTTGTTTGTGTGCTGAGTGAAAAAATGAACTTTCTGTTTTTTATTTCAGCTTTGGTATAGATAATTTTGTCCATTCTCATACTGTGACAACTTTTTCTCTTCTTCAGCTTTTGCTAAGCCACTCTTTGCTGTTTCTCCGTCAGCTTATATCATAGTGCCCTGAGATACAGAAAAAAATTCAAGTGGAATATTTAAATAAAAAATCACTGTAATAGGGCACATGTCTGTCACTAAAATTTATTTTTAATAGACATTAATTTTAAGTAATTATTTTCTTTGTAAATCACTAATTTACCTGCAAATTAGATGAAGACTATTCACTTCAAGAATGTATGTATAATTTTCAGTAATCAGGCCTGTCTCCCCTGTGTATCATTTAATTTCCTTCTCTTCCTTCTGAAGCAGCGGGTGATGTGACTGCATGCATCGACCAAATTGTATTTTCTTCCTTTTTCAAGACCGAA